AATCGACCCACAGACAATCAGTGGCGAAAAGAGCCACAGTCACAATCGAAAATGGCCAAGGGAGATGCCTCTTGGCACACAATCAAAGAAGCCTTGGGTTGGAACTGGGGAGCGACAACAAAGACATTGCAATTGAAAGAGAAACGAGTGAGCAAGGCCCTGTCACTCCTGGGCGAGGTCATGGATTGCAAACGCGTCTCCCTGAAACGATGGCAGCAGGTGTTAGGAGTCTTACGAAGCCTGCAGCCAGGAATGTCGGGCAGTGAGGGACATTTCTCCCTGCTGCAGGATGCACTGATTCGACAGGTGGATTGTAGGGTGCGGTTGACTCCTGAGGTCCGTGAGCAACTGGAAATCTTCCAAGATTTTCTTCATGGCCATGCGAAGCGCCCCACAACACTTGAAGAACTGGTACCAGGCGTTGACTTACATGTTGGCGCTTGCGATGCGGCAAAGTCGGGAAGGGGAGGAGTGTGGTTCACAGACGATGGAGAGGCCATCGTCTGGCGCGAACCATATCAAGAAGCAGTGAAAAAAGAGGTTATTTCAGATCACAATCTGACAGGAAAACTTACCAACTCAGACTTGGAGCTGGAAGGCACCGTTCTCCATCATTTTGTCCTTGGAAAGACCGCCCAGGTGGAAGGCAAAACCACTTATACTGGCTGTGATAACACACCAGCAGTGTCGTGGCGCACAAAAGGATCGTCCACCTCTCGAAAGGCAAGAGCAAGAATATTACGGTTAGCGGCAGGATTACAGCGGGAACAAAGAGCACATCATCGTATTGGTCACTTATCTGGAACGAACAATCGAATGGCCGACGATGCTAGCCGACTGTGGCACCTGTCTGACGCCGAATTTATCTCATATTTTAATTGCACGTATCCACAGATCAACTCTTGGCAACTGTACAGGATGTCAAACGCCATGAACTCCTTGATGACATCCGTGCTGTTGAACTCGGAATCGAACGCAGAGTCTGTCCTTCAAGAGTTGCAAAGGCACACTCTGTCTGGACCACATGGGTTGCCTTCTGCGACAGCCTCACCCTCGACCCAGGATTGTCAGCGGTCAACGATCCCTTGCTCATCATCCTCCTCTTTGGAACCCAAAGGCGACGTGGAAAAATTGCCGGGCCAACAGCTAGTAACAACTGTCAGCCCAAAAACATCATTGAAACTCTTTTAGGCCCAATTGGAGTCTGTGAAATCCAAAGCGATTGAGAAGGATGAGCAATTGCTGCAGGTGTTCGCTAGCGAAGGACGGACTGATCGGAACGCCCAAGTATGTATGCGAAGAAGGTACAGTAGCAGGACAGTGGAAAGCTACGTACCAAAGAGGTTGTGAAAGAAGTTGGTGAATGAGCTGCAGCTCAGTTGCAGCTCATTCCTTTTGAAAAGACTGCTCTGTATTTGACAGAGTGAATTTGAAGTCTAGGAATAGATAGTTATTAAGATTACCCTAGTCCCACCTCACCCTTGGAGGAAACCAGCGCTTGCGCTGGGGGTTTGGGGGCCAACAGCTAGTAACAACTGTCAGCCCAAAAACATCATTGAAACTGTTTTAGGCCCAATTGGAGTCTGCAAAATCCAAAGCGATTGAGAAGGATGAGCAATCGCTTGAGAATGCAGACACAAGGTTGTCCAGGCTTGTCGTGCTTCAAGTACTGAATTAGTTGTAAAATGTCCGAAAATGTGTGATAAAACAGTATTCTGAAAATTATAGTGATTTGTATTGTGAAGGATGTAAACAGGATGAAACTCCGACCATCTCAACGCATGCAATAGCGATGCTTAGTCTTAACAACATTGAGAATGTGGCAAAGCTTAGCGAGGGAGCATTGTAGTCAAGATTTGGGAATTTTGATACCTGTATAAGATACTTTGGATACGTTAGCCGTTGAGGTGCAGACGTTCAGTAACGGCTATCATCTGATGGACAAACAGACGACTTTCGACTCTCCCTCTCATCCGAAAGTTCAACACAAAACGTCATCACTGGAATTTGCGAAACAAATAGATCTGTAAAGATGTTGCATCTCACTGGTGAGCAGGCGAGTTCAACAACCGGAGTTGTCTACATCTCTCTGCTTGATGCAAATGTATAAGGGTTAGGGTGGTTGTGCAAAGGTGTTACCAGCCTTGCACTTGAAAGCGATTGCTCTTGAAAGGTTCACAAGACTGTGCCTTTGTGAAGTAATCAGCATCTTGGAGCGATGTGTCCACCTCGTGGATGGCAACAGTTTCTGGGCCAACGCCGTCCTTGGTGACGTGTTGCCAGAACCAGTGCCACCTGTTGAGATACCATTGAGTGCGAGATGTGATTCTTTGCTTAGTGGCCAGAAAGTATGCTCCTTGGTTGTCTTCAAATGCTGAGGCCCGAATGGTGGCGCGGATGCTGTCGTCAAGTTCAACGTGGTCGGTGGCTTCAATAAGAAGACGCTTCAATGGAATTAAGGTCTTTAGAGCAGAAGAGAGAGCATTGTATTCGGCCTTGAGCGTGGAGCAAGTGATAGATGTTTGAAGCTGGGAGCGCCAAATCAGCGGGCAATTGCTCAACTTTACAATAAACCCGATGCGTGATCAAACAGAGTTTGGATCAGTGTGAGGTTCGGTATTGTAGAGCCCACAGAAGTCAGCATCGACAAACAAATAGAGGTTCAGTTTTCCTGTAGGCTTGATGATCATGCCTTTTGTGCGAGTGCGTTTCAGGCAATGAAGAGTTGTTTTCACAGCGGTTGCATGGGATTGTTTTGGATCAGAGGAGAATCGTGCCACTTGGCTGACAGCAAAGGTAATGTCTGGTCGTGTGTTTGTCAAGAGGTACATTAACATTCCGACGATTGATCGATAGTTCCATTCTTCGCTCATAGGTTCACCATCAGGATCTTTGCCAAGGGGACCAGTAGCGGGGATCCGATTGGGATTGCAATTGGTCATTCCGGCTGCTTCCAAAACTTTGTCAATCAAGCCAGTCTGAGTGAGTTCGACTGAACCATCTTTGCGTTTGTCAAATTTTATGCCAAGAAACTCATTAAAATCGCCTTTGTTCTTTAGTTCAAATTTGAGTTCTCTGAGTTCCTCAATGAGCTTGTTGATGTCTGCTGGATCTTTGGCACCGATTCCAGCGTCATCAACATACAGAACCACCATCATGCCTTTCTTGTACAAAAGACACGGATCAAAATCGGATTGCTTGAATCCACACTTGGTAAATCCTTCCACGGCGGTCTTATTCCATAGCGCGGGAGCAGCTTTGGTCCCATATAGTGACTTGTTGAGTTGAAGACATGTTCCTTTGCCCTTTGGAGAGACGAATCCTCAAGGTAAGTGTACCCATTTTGGTTTGTCCAGTTTGGATTGTACGAATGCATTGCTGAAGTCAACCGAGATGGTGGCCCATCCAAGGATCAAGCAAAGGACAAGAAACAAACGGACAGTACTCCATGCAACGGTAGGTGCAAACGTGTTTTCGTCAACATCCATTTCTTCCAGGTCTCCTCTCACACAGTATCTTGCCTTGAATTTGGTCATTTCTCCGCTTGGGTTTCTCTTGACACAAAAGACCCAAGATCCAGGAATGATCTTGGTCTTCGCTTTTGACATTGGGACTTCAATCGAGGTGAGTTTTCCTTCAAGTTCTTCAATTTCCTTCTTTGCTGCTGCAGTCCATTTTTCGCTGTTGGGACCGTTGACCGCTTCATTGTAAGTGAAAACGTCTGGGTCCTTGGTCGCTCTTGCTTTGTACGAGCTTGGAATGAAGCTGCAGTCATGGGAGTGTTCCAATTCAATGTTTGAATGGTTGAAGTATGCCGAAAAGTAAGTGTAGAAGTTGTTGGTCTCTGGACTTTGTGATTTTAGGGGTGCGGTGTATCCTGCAGGCCCATGTCCATCATACCCAAAGCGTTTAGGAGGTTGGGCTTTGTTGGATCGGCGAGATGTGCGTGTGGCTGATGGTTGAGGTGCAGGTTTGCGAGGTGGTGCTGTTGGCTGCGGTGTGCGAGCCGGTGGAGAAGTCGGCTGTGGCGGAGTCGGCTGTGGTGGAGGTGAAGACTTCGGCTGATTCGTAGGGGTAGTAGTAGTAGGGGTCACATTCTCCCTCTGAGAAGGAGGCGGCTGAACGGGGGAAACAGCTGGCGGATTCTCAATGACTGTCTCCCTCTGGATCGAAGGTATGGTAGCTCCAGAGGAATCGACTTGTGGCTTGGTAGGTGGCGGAACAACGTCCAATGGAGTTGGCGGGTTGTGAACTTCTGTTTGTTCTTGGACTCTTGCAGTTAAAGGAGGAGGAGGATTGTCGGTGGGATCAGGTGGATGCAATGGGTCCTCGGGATCATCCAGAACATATTGGTAGACGGAGTCTCCAAAGAGTTTGGACCAGGCTTCCGAACCAAAATCAGGTAGGTCATCAACATTCGTTGCCACGGTCGAGAAGGTAGGGTCAAATACAATATGAAATTGTGTGGTGATGGCTCCTGTGTCGGGATTCAAACAAAGTGGAACTGACAATGCATGTCTCTTGCTCATTCCAACGTAGATCTGGCGGGTGGATTGAGGCTTCCACCGAGGAAGTTTCTTTCCATCTTGCATCTGTTTGTCCAAGACATACGCTGGGCATCCCCAAACTTGAACGTCGGTAAGTTGTGATTGTTTCCAACGGGTTTTGGTAAGCAGATCGTGTGGTGAGAGACCAGATAATTGGTTGGGCATGTGGTTGTAGAGGAAGACGGCATGATCCACTGCGAGGGGCCAGAGTGTGGTGGTTGCAACATCGGGCCAATGGATGGCTTGATGCATCATCATTGTTCGAGCGATGGACATGATGGTTTGGATTGATCGTTCCGCAATTCCATTGTGATGATGAGCTCCAACGCCAGCAAATGAGTGAATTTGTGAGAACTTGAGTAAGTGATCATTGTATTCTTGCGATGTGAAGGGCCTTCCATTGTCACTTAGATATTCAAGTACAACTACTCCAAAGTCTTGAAGTTGTTCTTCCACAGACATCTTTGCACTCAACGTCTCTTGGGTGTTCAGATGAAGTTGATGCTCGACGAAGACGTAGCCTGTTGCGTGGTCAACAAAGATGAATCCTCCGGTGTACTGTGTCTTGGGATCTTCTTTGCCAAAGGTATGAAGCAATCGTCCTCTTGTGGTACACTCAAAATGATCAACTGACACCTTCTGTCCTGGGAACAGGTTTTCTTTCTTCACAGCTCCCTCTCGATCACAAACGACTTGAGAAGTCTTTCCAGGAGAGGGTCGACGGCGTTGCTTTCCAAATTGACAAGCTGGGCAAAGTGGGTATGTTGTGATCCGAGATGCTGTAGCTTGCAATCGTCGAGCGAACTCTGAATGCGCCAATACACCTGTGCGGAGCAGAAATTGGATCTGACTGAAGTTGAGATGGCCTAGCCGATGGTGCCATCTTAGGAATTCTTTCTCGGCGGGACTGAGGTTGTGGTTTGACTCCAAGGTGGACGTGATGATGCTGGCAAATGCGTCGAATCGGTTAGGGGCAGTTCCATGGGAGTTGGCAAGCGATGTTGGCAAGTTCGTTGAAGGGTCGTGGTCAATGTGTACTGAATTTGTTTTGTCTGATCCAGACAACTGTAGATGATCAGCGTTCATTGAGATGGACTCATCGGTGTATGTCTGGAGCAAGCTTGAAGTACTGAGCAATCGAGCTGTGGCAGAAGGTACGTATAGGGCAGGCACCTTGATTGTTCGTAACATGCCAGTTGTATCAACCACTGACCATGCAACATGTCCAATCCCTTTGATTTCCAGGCCGCTAGCGATTCCACGAAGCTTGAGTCCAAGAGGTGCTGGCTCAAGCTTTCCCACAAAATCGTCCTTGTAAGGTGAGATCGAGGTTGTTGCACCGGAATCCCAGATTATCGGGTACCTTGTCGTCTTTTCATCACCTGACATATCTGATCTCAATTCATCTGGATTCATTGCAGCACGGAAGCAGTTGATGACCTTGCTGAATTGTTGTGGAATATCGGCGTTCTTGAAGAAGGCTTTGGCCGCGGGAGAAGATAGAACTGTAACGTGAGCCATTGGGAGTCCGACACCAACGGTAGGTCTGTAGATTCGTGGCATGTTTGGTTGACAGCGGCGTGTCATCCTTTGTCTGCGCATTCGATCCGTTCTTGGAAAGGTATTGAAGTGGCGGAAGATGTCGTCACTTGGTGTCGAGGAAGGGTCATGGCAATCGGAACGATGTCTGGAAGAGTCGTGGCGACAGGGGCGAGGTCTGGGAGGATCAAAACGGAAGGCATCATCTTCACTTCGCTTGCGGGGACCTTGGTAGAAGGTCCAGTTTGGATCACCAGGACGCGGACGCTGATGGTCATCACGGGGTGTTTCGCGGGAAGTGATAGCATGAGGGGTACTAGGTTCGTTGTCGTTCATGTTTCTCCAACCGTCGTTTGTTCTCTGCCAATTGCTTTGATCATTGTGATTTCTCTGATGTCTTCTGTTGCTTCTCCAATTATCTCCCTCTCGACGGGAACGACAAAACGTGAGAGACTCCAAAAACTGAATGATGTGTTGGACCAAGTCAAAGATATCCTGAGATCGTGGGTCGAGGCGACGGCGTGTGGCGAGACCATAGTGACGGGTGTGGCAACAATGACTGAAGGAAGTGGGGCGGCGCTGGCGACGGCAGTGTCAAATGTATCGTTTGTACTTTGCCTTGGTCATCCAGAACGGGCAAAACTCTTGAGGCGGGGACCCAATGAGGCGGTGTTTCACTTTGGTAGGAAGGGACACAAGGATCAAGAGAAGGAACCACAGGAGTGGAGCAAGACGGGCGGTCAGGGATCCCTCAAAGGCAGCAATGACAGTGGAAGCGGCAGTGAATAGGTAGGCGGAGGCGGCGGTAGCTTGACTCATCATGAAGGAGACTTGATCGGCCAAGAAAGAGGATGCAGTTGAGACTTGATCGGTCATGAAAGGTGAAACATTCGGTGTAGTGACGCCAATGGAACGGGCCAAGAAGAAGGCAACAGCCAACTGGGGAAGGTAACTCAAGAAGTGTTGGATGATGGTCCAGACAACACATAGGGACAGAAGACTGGGTTGATCATGGCGGAAGGGAGTGTACCAGGCTCCAGCGAAGCGTAGGTGATTTGCTTGGGGTCCCAAACCTTTCAAGTCGCGCTTGGTGGCATCATTGGTATGGCCGTCAGTAGCATGGGTGGTCGACCAACGTCCACAGTGAGCACACCAGTGGAAATCCTTTCCACGGACTTTCTTGGTCTCAGGTGCACCAGGAGCCGGTGGAGTAGTCTTCCAACTGGATCCGTGCTTGTCCTTTTGATGCTTACTCTTCTTGTTGTTGTTGAAAGGTCGCTTGGGCTTCTTGTCACTTTTGCAGTCGCGAGCCCAGTGTCCTTTCTCTCCACAGTTCAAACAGATGTCATCAGGTTTGGCCTTGCCCTTTGAACCGGTCTGCTGGTGGATCAGAGCGTATGCATGGTTCTGAACGCCATCGGGGGTGAATGTCTTGGCCATCTTGGCATACGGAGTCTTGGAATCTCGGATGGTGGGTCTTGCAGCGGGCCATTGATGCTTGTCAAAGAGTGTACGGTAAGCGTTCTCGGCCTTGTCACAGATGTGCTCGTGGGTGAGTTCTTCTGCTTCCAAATGTTGCGCTGCTGCTTCCTTGTCCATGTAGCCAATCTCAATCAGTGCTTTGTCCATCTTGGCGCTGACGTTGAGCATATCATGACGGTAAGAATTGTGCTCAGCTCTGGAGGCTTCAAGGAAGTTGTCAACCATGACGTTGTTGAGATTGAATTCATATTGACCTGCGATTGTCAACTCATTTGCATCTTCGTTGTTGTCCTCTGCCATCTGTGCAATGTCCTCTCCAGAGTATTGGGAGGGCTTGCGCTTGCTTATGTTTGTCTTGAGTCCTTCGAAGTAGTGGATGGACCAAGGATAGAAGGAGATATACTTTGAGCCTGCCGGGTAGCTAAAAACGTTTACAGTAGAAATTTGTACGTAATATATTGTGTACAACCTGGATCTCAAAACGATCATCCGTCAGTAGTTGACTAGTCCGACTTCACCTTGTCCACCTTGTCCACCTTGGAATGCAGTGATATTTGCCTCATTGTAATTGTGTTTCAAATATCTTTTCAGCAAAACCTGAACTTTCAAAGTAGCATGATGGGTGCATGCATGCCATCGTTGGTCGAAACAAGGACAGAAGTCTATTGTTCCGTCCATACTGTATCCTTATGCTTCTCGCAACTCCCAAGCCCCCGGTGCAGAATGCTTCATGACAGACGAATTCATCAGCACTGGATTCTTTCACTCCGCATGCAAGGGCAAATTTGACGCCAAATGGGGAGGCTTTCTTTCGCAATATTGTGCCACCCGAAGTTACTGCAGATATTGCTATTTCTTCGACTGCTCCATACACGGAGCAGCACAAGGCGGGTACACAACTTTTTGATTGTGGAACAAAGTACAACAATCTCAAGAGGAAGGCAGATAGATTCGTTGGACTTGCCGTCACATTGATGAAAACCTTTTCAAAAAGCGTTAACGAGGAATTCAAAGTTGGAGCGATGAAGAAATTCATCAGTCAGAAAAGGCCTGGTGAGGCCCCGGAGGGAGGAGGAAGAAGGAAGAAGACTCGAGTTTTAGAGTCTCAATTCGATCAAGTCTGGGTGGATCCATCCGCAGACGTGTCGACACCAAAGCCCTGTCAAGGAATCCGCATCACGAAGGACACAGCTCAGAAATATCGCGCCAACATGGCCTACTTTTTCTCTAAGCGAATAAGAGACAAGGCAAGAGACACAGCGAAGGTGGTTGAGGAGAAGTTTAGTGAAGAGAGCCTCAATTCCTTCTTCACTAACAAGGAGAACATTCGTTTCACCAAGGATCAGTCGACAGCATTTAATGAGTTTATTGACTCATATGCACCAGCTGATACCTCGCAGTACGAGCTTGATACTGTCGGAGAAGGTGTCTTCGTGTTTTGGTCAAAAGAATGCACGAGATTTATTGACATGAGTAGCAGCACCAGCAGAAGAAAACGCTGCAAAGCTTGCGTGACTGTAGACTCTTTGATCTACCATGATATTGAAAGGTCCAGGCCTCTTGGCATTGATGGAGCGGTGCCCAAGGACACACAATACGCAGTGATTCAGCAACATCCCACTACTGTTGTCAAAGCGTTGGAGCAGAGAAGGGACAAGGTACGAACTGTAAAATTGGAGATTTTAAAATTGGCTCGGAAATCTCAAGAATCGGAGCTGCATAAGCATGCTGGGTGCAGCACACATGAGCTCGAAGAGGGAGTCCTGAAGGCATTCAAAGTGGCAAATAAGAATATCGATGTGTACTTAGGTAAAAGCAAAGAGATCAAAGATGACCAAGTTGGCAAAGCACAAGTGAAAAATCTATGGGAAGTGCACATGGAGCATCTCCAAAAACTGAAAGAACGAGGAGGCAAAATGCGTGGCGTTCGATTCCATCCGGAGCTCTTGAATTATGCTATCTTGATCCTTGCAAAGACTTCACAGTCAGTATACACTGAGCTTTGAGGTGTCTTCAAGCTGCCATCGCTTGCCTACGTTCTGCGGCTTCAGAAAGAACGTACTGGTAGTCATGATGAGCGAAAGACCCCATTCGGTATTGTTATCGAAAATTTCAGGCATATTAACAGAATGTTCAACGAGAATGATGTGCCACTTGAGCGCCGGAAGGTGGCACTGGCGTTCGATTCAATCATTACAAAAAAAGGGATTCAGTGGGACGTCCATGGGAAGATGACTGGCATCGACCAGAATTTACACCTTGCCCCCATCCAGACCAAGTTTATTAAAATGGTACGTCTATTGGAGGCTTTTTGTTTTCTGCTCATTCCCCAATCTCTCAGTTGCTCCATTATTTCTTCAGAAAAGAACAAAGAAGATGAGAAATACCTGCAAGGTATCGATAGTGTCGAAGAACACATGTCAAATCTCTCTGAGCATTTCCTAGTATTCAAAGCGACCGTGTGCGATCCAGATCCAGATATAAAGTGCTCATTGGTTCTGTCCCGGATGAGCTGTTCAAGCATCACCCCACAACGGCTCTCAATGATAATACATTCAATAATTATGAAGTGCCAACTTAATGGGTTCGGTGTAATCAGCTTCTGTGGAGACGGAGCTAGTGAAAATGTCAACTGCTTTGACGACAACTATATTCCGAAAAAACAAAAATACAAAAACAACACGCATATCCGGGTCCTCAAAACATCACTTTCGGTACTTCGCCTACACAATTTTTCTGTAGCGAAACGAAACTCGCTCCTCCTTTTTGCATCAAAACTGACAATGGGAATGCCATTGGGACGCTCTCCATTCACTTGGATCGATACGCCCAGGGCATTAGGGCGCAAGAACAATTGGCTTCCCACCTACTACACAATCATTCCCACCATCACACTGGTTCAACAGTACTGGACTCACCTCCGTATGGTAAATGGCCATGATAGCCGTTAATGTTAGAATAAAGCAAAATGTGCTCTATCGTGAGTGCCTTTAGCGCTCAGAACAAACTCTCTGCAATCTAAATTCGTAATCAACTGTACAACACTTTCACGACAATAGTTCTCCTGTGTCTAGGT